AACTATGAGCCTTCTTATAGAAATAAGTAAAGCCAAATATTTTATCGTGTTCTGAGAATTTGAAATGTTCAAAATCTGACAAATATTATACGCCAACAGAGTATCTTTAGAAAAAAATAGCCAAACTTTTATTATGATTAACAAGAAGACCAGAACAAAAAGAAAAATATTCCAAAATATCCTTTAATTTTTCAGCATTAGGAACAGAGGCTTTTTTAAAGGCCAAAACATCATCAACATATATTAAATAAGAAATATAATTCTCACTAGCAGCCATACCCTCAAAGTGAGTATACGAAGGCTTATCATCAATCAAATTAAATAGGGCATCCATCACTATACAAAATAAATAAGGAGAAAGAGATTTGCTTTAACGCATACCTGAAGATGAGCTAAAGAACTCGTCCAAAGAACCATTAATAGCAATAGAGAAGAAATTTTCCTTAATACAACATTTAATCCGAGAAATGAAGCATTTAGGAATATCATTTTTAGTTAATCTATAAAAAAAAATCTCTATAAACATAATCAAAAGCCTTATGAATGTCAAGCTTTGCACAAAAATACTTAACTATGGCCAAAACAATTAAAGTCCATCAATAATTCAAATGTCAACAAAATATTATCAGATGAAATCCTCTTTTAATAAACCCAGACTAACTTGGGTGAATAATAAATAGCATAATACGTTGTATTCTGTTAGCCAAAATTTTTTCCACGGTTTTAACATTGCATAAGGAAACTGGCCTAAAATCATTGATCAGAGAAGCATGAGTACATTTTGGAATAAGTGCAATAGCAAAAGCTTTTGCAATTCTAGGCATGTGACAAAAAGAGAAATAATGTAAAACAGCAAATTTTTTAAAAATTCAAACATAAAACCATAAGGACCATAAGCAAAAGAGGATGGAGCTGAGAATACAACCTACTTTATTTCTTCCATAGAAATAGGGGCCAAAAGACTAGGAATTAGCACATCATGAATAGTCCTTCCAATAGGAATAAAATTGGAAGTAGCAAAAGAAGGTTTTGAAGAATTTAAAAAACCTTTCAAAATGTTGAATAACGGCTTCAGAAATAGTTTTAGAATTAGTTATCAATCCCTCAGATGTAGAAATAACTTTAATATTATTTCTATTTTGTCTAACACAAATTTTTGAATGAAGAAAGCCCAAATCATCCTCTCCACAAGAAAGTCATTTAGCTTCTAATCTCTGAATAAGCCAAGAAGCCCATAAAAGTATATAATGATTAAGAAAATAATTCACCTCTTTTAAATAATCATTTAGTTATTTATCGAGAGGATTACAATTAATATCCTATAAAAGAAGACTTTGTTTCTTCTTAAGGTCATCAATATTACCATAAACAAACTTAGAAGAAATCCAAAGTTAAGATTTAATACTACATTTAAGCTGATGCAACCTATAGTAAAGATCATTAATCAGACAACCAACAGGGGACGAAGAAAAAGCATCAATGAGTCCAAAAATTCTGGTTTAGAGCACTAGAAATTTTTAAAAATGAAACGATGCTTAAAATTAGACATTTTATTATTGCAGAGAATCAGTGTAGAGTGATCAGAACATCTAGGTTTGTCCATATTATAATAAGAGGACGGAAAAACTTCCAACAAAAAACCATTAACCAAAATCCTATCTAGTTTAATATAAATAGGAAAATCACATCTTTGGTTAAACTAAGTGAACAATAGCCAACAAAAGAAAGGTCTTGAACACCAATATTAAAAATAAGATTGTTAAAATCCCACAATTTAATACTAGGAATTATATCCACAATTTGTTAAAATACCCTCAAAAGTCCAGCTAACCAAAGGAAGATCTTAAATTTTAATCCAAAGAGAAATTGGTACAAATTCCTCTCGCTTTGGATGAAACAAAGGCAACCATTTTTGAATGATAAAATGTTTCCCAAAGAAAAACCATGCACCCCCCATCCCAACTAAATCAAAATCTTTCGGAAAAAAAAAATTTCATCAAGAAGAAGCATTCTGCCAAAGAAAGAAGCGTGAACGTACATTTTAACTTCCAAGCCTTTAACATCGCAGAATGTAAAGCCTCAAAGAAAGGCCTCTTACCTAAGGAGTAACCTTCCCAAGTTAACCCCCCAGATTTTGAAGCAGTTTGAACATCATCATCCGAAAAAAGAGTCAAGTTATCTTTAGAAGGAATGAAAGAAACGGAAAAATCTTTAGGAGAGAAATGACGAGAAGTCAGTTACCCCCTCCAATCTTGTGGATCTAAGGAAGCCGTCATGGGTGAGATACCCATATGAGAAGAGGACTTCAGCGGAGGCAAATCTGTAGCATAATTCATCTAGAGAATGAGAAAAAAGGAGGAGAAGGCCCGAAGAGCAGCCTCCAAACGGGAGAAAGAGAGAAGAACCTAAAGTGGCCTAGGGTTCGCAAGAAACCCTAGCAGAGCGATGAGCACTGGTAGGCAGTAGTCATATTATTTCTAAAGGAAAAAAAAAAATCAAGGCACAAAGTAATGTACCCGAGATAGTAGACATGAAAAAAGAGATAAGGTTAGTGGTTTGAGGTTTGTATTGCTTGAAGAGAACCTACAAGTCTTTTACAGAAGAGTAACAATAGAGGATGAAGAAGGTTTGATAATTGTGGAAGTAGCAGTGATAGTTGAGGTCTTAATACCTAATGAAGTATTGGACCGGAATGATTTCATAGATGGTATGGCTCCAAAAGACTACATCAGCAGGATCTTAGATCATTTTTAGTTATGTCTGAAATTAAACTTGGAACCAATGGCAACACTTCTGAGTAGGACAACCCCTAATAATGTGACTGAAGTTCTCACAATATTGACACATAGAAGACCCTCATCGAGATGCCAATAATAAAAGTAATGTTGAATCACAAGAAGTTAGACTGTAAGAGATGCCATAAATAAAAGTAATGTCGAATCACAAGAAGAGAAGGGTCCATGTTTCTAACAAAGTAGTTGCAAGTGGAATGCCAAGATGTTGAAAGTGTAGTAGGAAGAACATGACTATAACTCATGAGGTCCATGATAAATGGTCAAAAAGGGATTGCATACAGGGATGTGGTGCGGTGACCTCAAGATTTATGATAGAGAAGGCAAGATTAGATCCTCAAATAGAGAATGTATGATGGTGGCAAGCCACATCGACAACGAGTCATGTGATGAATAGGGTAGCTAAGAAAGGATGGTTTTATGAGATTGACATTCAGCTGTGTGAATGCAAGGTTGAGCAGAGGTGTGATGTGATGGAGGGAGTTAGATGTGCGCATACAACCAAGCCAATATGTCTAATGTGAATTCACAATCACGGAACACGCGGAGAGGTCAAGGTGCATGGAGAAAGATGGAAAATCAACGACTGGAAATGTGGACTAGTAGAAGCCATAGAATAATAGACCCATCATCAGTGCAAGAACCATGACTTTGGACCCACAATAGATGGCTTGTCGTTGTCTTGTTAGTCTGATGAGAAGAGTCATAGGTGTAACTTGTAAGTAGAGCATAGAGTTAGTTCGAAAAGTTGTTATTCTTGAGATTGGTGTGTGGAATAGCCAAGGCTTTAAAATTGATTTTTTATTTCTAGAGGCATGTAGTGCTGGAATCACACATAGTGTAGTGGAGACCATTGCGGTGAAACCTTATAATGGATCAAGGATAAAAAAGTCAGCATCACAATGTGTGTTATGTTAGGTATCGAGAAGAAAGACGGTGATAATGGTTGTAGATATCTATATAGAGGCAAAGTCGTTAGATATAATGCAACATAGATTTGTGAGCACTGGCAAATATGAGCTTTGATTAAGTGGTTGCATATCTTATAAGATAGTGTAGAAGGGAAGGTGGTGATGTAAATGTTAGATCACCGGAGACATTCTTGTTAGACTTGGCAAAAGTAGGGTTCGAAATAGGTGCTTACGAATGGAGACGTGCGATGTTTGAGATTGGCCATTGTGGCTGGGGTCATAAGCCCATGGCATTGGAGATCCGACAATTTGGTCGGGATCATAGATGGGTGATCGCAATTGAAATTAGAGATGACTAGCAGCATTAATCTCAAATATGGGAATTGCAATCAAGGCCAAAGATGGGACTTTGTTGGCAATACAAGAGAGGAACGAAGGCATCAGGCATGATAGGGAATCTCTGATGCTCAAATGAAAACACCTGCAGCATGAATCATTGAGAGGTCTAGACTTCTAGTTTTGATGGCATCATAGAAAATGAGATGAGAAGAAAATTGATCTTCATTGAATTGTGTTTGAACAACATATACAGTCTATATATATTGCAGAAAAAGAGAACAACAGAGGAAAATAATATATAAAAATATTAAAAAAAAAATTTAAAAAAAAATATCTATATATTAGAATCTCTCTTATTAATGATAGAAAAAAGACCGTAGAAACATGATCTCAGTACATATGGTAATAAATTTGATGGAGTAAAATGAACTTATTTGTAAGTTCTTTTTCTCTTCAATACAAAAATACCCAGGTTTACCGAAACTTGTCAAAAGCAGCCTTAAGAGTACCATGTAAACTTACAATACATTGAGATGCATTAGCTCTCCAATTCTTGGCGACAAAACTCCATTGAACCCGATGTTAGCCAATGTTCTGCAACAGAAATATGGAAAACATTAAATGTGTTAGGTAACTAATCAAATAAAGGTAAATATAAGCTCCTTATAGATGTCACCACTTCAATAAAATAACCTACACTTGTTTTTGCAAGATTGTACTACAAGCCATAACATAGATATTCACAAAACATTGCAGGACAAATGCAAGGCCAACTTACACTTGAACAACATTGTTATTGCTGTCACAAATTACAGAATTCCAAGTGCAAGGAGTAACCTGATTCTGATTCCAATCACTAAGCTGAGTACTAGTAGCATTTAATTTATTTCTCATGTCAACTAATGCATCCCCTGAAACATTTGACAGTTAGGCCTTAGTTATTTCACCAAGGAAATAAAAAATAAAAAATGAAGCTAATTATGAAACACAGGCATGAACAAATGAGGAAAGGGAAAGTATTCAAGTCATGATATAGAAATGTGGAAACAAACATTTCCCAACATACAATCAGAAAGATACTGAGATAATGTAGTGATATATAAATGATGTGATGTCAAGATGTAATTCCAGCAGTTTGAGAATGCTGGAGAAGAAGACATGTAGCAATTGCTGCAGATGATCATCCTAGATTAGCACGGTTTATTAGCAGAAAATACCCACACAAAAAAAACAAGCGTCTTTCCCGCATTTTGAAAAGTCACTCGTAATTTCTGCTTGTTTCCAGAAGAAAAAAAAGGGGGGAAATATTTGAGTAAAATTATCCAACAATGTAATTATATGTATCATCGTATGTAGGTATTCAATACGCCTCACTTATTGCAGTGGGAACTAAAAGGTTATATACGAATGATCTGAAGCAAACGTTCTTGATGAGCTGATCCTAGTACATTATTTTCATTTTTTCTTGAATAAAGTGAAGATAAACATTACTTAAAAGAGAAAAAAAACTTCACAAAAGGAAGAAACCAAATAATTAAGTAAAGAGGATTTTCATTATTATGCCTCACAATTCGCCATCGTCATCCTTGGCTTGCCATTGTGGTTCTCTTGACGTCAATGTCCACTTGTTCTCCATGCGTCACTGGGCTTGTTGATGTGGCTAGCCTAGAGCCCGTTTGCAACACTTGAATTTTCTTTGACTTTAAAAAATCAATTAGTGGCCCCATCCATTTAACCAACTGCCAATGTTTCAATTTGTATTCATTCTGAACACTAGACAACCAGAAAATATAAAAATAAATAAATACAAAGGCTAGTGGACCATTAAAATTTAAAAGAAAATTTAGATCGAATGCTAATTTTACTGAACTGCCTTTGAATACATTTATTAATCCTATTTTTATTATGGAAGACAATATTCCCCATAGAGACACTATAAAACCTTAAAACTTCTAGACTCCTCTTACAAGAGACCAAAATCATTGCTTGTCAGTCCATCCAAACTTTCAGGAGGTTGAAATTATCATTCCAAATGAAGCTCTTGTCTCTATATATTCTCCCAATAGGTTCCTCATCAATTGGAAGAATTTGCAGCCTCTTTCTGAAGCACTTGGGTGGCTATGGAAGATGTCCAGATGCTTGGACCATACTCAGTGGATGACTTCCTTGATTTTTAACTTAGTAGAATTCTTTGTGATCTGATGGAGTTGATATATCACGACCTCAACATACACATAGACCAATTATAAGATCCTAGACAATGGCCTTGCATCAAGCATGAAGATCACCAATCATCATAAAACAAGAAGAACAACATCATCATCCTTCAGAGTGACTCCTCCAAGGAAGTTATGTGAAGATTGCAATGAAAAGGATCACTCTCTTCCTTATTTAAGCCAAACTTGTTAAAATAGTGCTTCTCACATGAAGTGTAGAGGTGTCAACTAGGGTTCATGGATTGAGTTTGGGTCTAACATGAAGTTGACGGGGCCTGGATTTGCTTGGCCCGAATCTAACCCATTTATTATATGGATTAAAATGTTCAATCCAAATCCAACTCAACTCCAACCTGATCAGCCCAAACCTAGCTTATTTAACAGGTTTCTTATATGGATCATGTAATTTTGGATCAATATGACGCAATTAACTCAAATATGACTCGTTTAACCCAAACATGATCTATTTAACTTGAACATGGTATGTTTACCCAAATACGACCCATTTAACCTAAATCCAACCTATTTAACCCAAACCCAAATATTAATCAGGTCAATTTAAGTCAATTTTGAGTTTTTGGGTCAACCCAAATTTAATTAAAAAATTTAATCGAGTGAAACTGAACCTAAATTCTCCGACTCAGTTCTACGTCGGATTGTCATGTAGGGTCATTCATTGAAACCCTAGTGACGAGGTGCAATGTGAAGAGGATGCACATCACCTTGTATTCAATTGACTACAAAGCAGTCAAAAAGTGTTGTTGAACATTAAAATACTTGCAAGAAGCACAACACCTGTCGACTTAGTGGTTTGATTTTATCAATTTTAGAGTTTATTGGTTACTCTTTTTTTTGTTAAATAGCCAATCAATTATTAATATAAGAGGCAACAAATTCTTCAACCAAGCTTTCATCTTCAACTAGCACATAGTAACCATGACCTTCTCTCCCTCCATCATCTAGCTGCAGCCCCCATACTTCCGTAGCTCTTGAAACAATGTGAGTATAATTTTTTAAGGGTTTTATAAGAATATATTATTTTGTAATTTAAATGAAAATTAAATTAATAATCTCACTTGAAAGAAATTTATCTTTAATATTTTTAAATGGTTTTTATATGAATATTTTTCAAAATGGATTTTTAATAAATATAATCTCATTTGAAAGACATGAAAAATAAATTTAACAAAATTGATTTTAAAAGTTTATAAATAAAAAAGATTATAATTCAAATATTTAATTAAAATTAAATATCTTATTTGTAATTGTTAAATCTCAATTATCCCTTGGCCCTTAATCCCACGGCTAACATGGCGATCATTGGGAGGCTCACCTAAATCACGTTGTTAAATCTCAGCCATCTCTTGGTTCTTGATCACATAGCTAACATGGGGATCGTGGGAGGCTCACTTGGATCACGCCGATCTCCTTCTATATTTTAGTGGCTGATTTAGGAAGGATTATATTAAGGCAATTATGTATGATTCTATAGTTATTTGATTTTTTATTAAGACATCTTGTATAGATTTATAAATAGCAATAGTTTTGTATAATAAAATTAAGTCTTTTTCCTCATCAATTCTCTAAATTTATCAGGTTATCAGAGCCAGATTCCCACCACCGGAATTTTGAGGAATATTGGTCCTTCCACCTGCCTTCTTGCCCAAATCGCTTAAATATACAAATCAAAGGAAGCGGAGAGGAGCAAGCGGCCTTCATTTCCATTGGAGATCGAACGAGAGTAGAGCGGTCCAAATCTCTCGTGCCCTCTATTTCATGCTTGCAGCCAGAAGAAGCAGAGATGGGAGTCTCTCGTGTGTCTAAGACTGAGGAGAGATTGAGCGGGATGGTTCCTCTTACATGCGTCTCGGGCAAAGCCTAGAGGAGTCGAGCGAAAGCTTCCTCTCGCGTACGTGCGATTGAATGAGACGAGAAATCGTGCGTCTGGCCCTAATGGCAAGGACCTCCTAAGAACGACGACATTGGGCTCGATCTTCGTTCTTGCGTGTGACATCCACAGTCGACCAAACAAAAACGAGAGAAGTCGAGCGCATGACCTCTACTCTTGCGTGCGTCTAGACAGCAGCTAGGACCTCCTCCTAAAAGCAACAACGTCAGGCTCAGTTTTGTCCTTCTGTGCAATCCAGGGAGATGCAGTGTCCTCTTGGTTATCTGTTTCGTGCCTCGCTTCCTGGAAGCCGAGCGGAGAGGAGCGAATAGGAACCCTTGTACGTGCGAAGGAGGTCAAGCCACTGTGCATACATTCTTACCTATGGAAAAGCAGAATCGATCGTCGGAAGGTGTCCTGCAGGAGTTTTTATGAGTGCATGCCAGGGAAGAGCTGAATGCTTGGATCAATAGTCTTATGCGTGCCTGCAAGGGACCGAGAGCTTGGAGCCATTATTGTCGTACATGCAACCTCTCTCGTGCAAATGTCGACTGATGATTTAATGTTGGAGAATGGGATAAAAGACATCGGAAATAAGTTGGCATCTCCTCCATCCAATTTTCAGCAGCTTTTGCTACTTTTTGATAAAGCTGAAAATATATTATAAAGAATGGAGCAATCTCCATCTACTTCAATGTTGATTGTTGTTCAACCTTCTATGAAGGCATTGATTTCCATTGCACCTTTTCTTAGTGAAGGTTTCCATTGCACCTTGTCTTAGTGAAATAATAAGAATAACGACACCAAATTCTCCATATGATGATGATACAATGAAGGAGATATTTAGATTGATTATCGGAACTTTCAAGATTTTGAATGAGATGTCAAGCCGTTCATTTCCGAAGAGAGTTTCAATAATTAAAACTGTTGCAAAGGTATGATCCTGTGTTTTGATGTTAGATCTTGATTGTGATGAATTGATATTGGAAATGTTTCAGCATTTCCTGAAGACAACAAAGGTCAAAGCATTCTAATATTGTCTTTTACTCAATGGAGACTATCATGATAGTTGTTTTGGAGGAGACTTAAAGTATTTATGCACAGCTTCTTTCATGTTTATTGGATTGTGTGAAAATTGTTGAAAAGAATAGTCTGCAAACAACAAATAAGCTAGTTGAGAAAGTGCTTGTTAACTGTTCCTTGAAGCTAAAGACTTATTTGGCTAAATTACTTAATGGCAATAGTGCTCTATTAAGTGATTACATCAAAATTGTTGCTACTGTATTTCAGGGGAAACCTAACACATCGATACATAATGAAATGAATGCTTCTGGTGAATATCAAGAAGCTGGCCATAAATTATTTAAGTGGCTCCATTCTGACGACTCGCCTCAGGAATTTGCACAACAAAAAGGTGAAATTTTTCATCATGAAAAATTTGTTGCTGCAGCAGAAGGATCTTCCAAACTCGTGACAAATAATGGATCTTTCATAATGGGAATGGTGATTCCATGGCTGCAAAGAAAAAGACTGAATTTTACCATCATAGTGGTAAATCTAGAGTTAATACCAAACATAGCTTGGATTCAGAAACAACAAAGCCTGATAGAAGGTCAGATCTATGTTATCACAGAGGAAGAAATGCTTCATTGCAGTTGTCAACCAGTAATGATCATTATGGAGTTGGTAATAAGAAAAAAGTTTGGAATAATTCTAACAAAAAGCTTCCAAGTAATGGAGGCAGAAATGGATCTCAAAGAAAAATTAGAGTAAGATTCTCGGAAAACAAGCAAACTGCTGGCACTAA